TTGACAAATTGCATGACTAGTGCTGAAAAAAAAATTCACTAGAATCTCCATCTTGCTAAAAATGCAAATATCTTGATGCTTTTCTTTTAAAACAAAAAAATGCAAGGAAACAGAAAGTTTCCCCTGGAATGTGTTGATTGAGCAATATTAAAGGTTAACCTTCCCATGCTGCAGAAGGTCAAATGTACCCCCTTCCTGGGGATTAGCTCTCTGGTAATTCAAGCTACAACAAAACATATGCCTTTGCCTCGCTTCTCCCCCAACCCTGGCTCTTCCTAGGGTTTCCTGCAGGACTCCCATCTGTTAGACCAGTGATTTTCCTGGTGTGTATATAGCAAGAGCTATAATTATCTAGGTATAGATATGTAAAAGATAGATGATACACATAAATGATACAGATGCGTATATCCATACACACATACCTACACATTTGTAAATCTGGACTCTGAAGCCTCTGATAGAATTACTGCTGATGTCAACAGAGCCCAGGTGTGTGAGCTTATACGCAGGTGCAGTCAAGTACTGCATTAACAGTAGCATCAATCAGAAACTTCCCAACAGAGTATTTTCCTGTTAGAAAATGCCAGTTTGTCCAGAGGGAAATATTTCATGAAAATGTACTAATTATGATGACATTTTTTTGCAGACAGAAATAATAGAAAGCATATTGATTGGCTCAAGATATCACCCATTTTAGACATGTTTGGAGTGGAACATACTGACACTTTTTCCAAACTCTTTTGCATTCAGGAAAGTTTATCTATTCAATTAAAATTAAATTAAAATAGCAGAGGAAAAAATATTATTTTATAAAAATGGAACTCCTTAGTCAACTTTTTTTTTTTTTTTGTGGAGAAAAGGTTTCATGAGAAATTTGAGAGAGGTTTTTGGGTTTTGTTGCACCTTCAGAGATTTTTCTCTTTTTTTCTTTTTTAATGGTGCAATTCCTAGTGAAACTCGGTCCTAAAGAAACTAGTTCAATCACAACCACATTTTGTGCGTATTTTCCATGGGGGCAGGCTTAAAAGGTCTGAAATGGAAAGCTGAAGAGAGCACCATGGTCATGTTTTCATTAGTCCAGCCTAGGGCACTATAGAGACACTCTGGCTTTACACTCTACACAACCTCTGGATGCTTTGGGAGCTATCTCAAGAGGACCACTGACACCAAAGGGAGCTCTCTTAGGGTCTCACACCTAAACATATGGGCTCAGAGTTCCTCTCCACCTGTGGATTATAAAACCTCAGCATCTTTTCAGTGCTCAACCGATAGCAATATCATATCAACAAGCGAGAAAGAAACTTGCTTGTAGTGCCTTTTTAAAAATGACATAATAAAGCAACGGTCTTCTTATCTGAGACACTTACCAGTAAGAGGCTATTATAATTTTTTCCTCTATCCTTTAGAAACCTTGTGAATAGATTTATTAAATCTCATTTGCTGTTAAATGTGCTACATAGCACTTTGTAAGTGGGTTGTGTTCGGTGTTGAATAAAAGAACAGGATGTCACAAACCTCTCGTTATTTTAATTTTGATATCTATAGTTGTCGTTTCAAGCTGATGAAAGACATGTACTGTTCGCAGCAAAATGCTATTGTTTTACTTCATTCTGAAACATTTTTGCAATGAGAAAAATGACCATAGCTGAGTCCTCAATTTTCCATCAGAGATAGACAATTTTATCGTCAGGCTGATAGTTACAGGATTATGTCTGTTCTGGAAACACTGAAAAACCTGTCACACTGTAGATAAATTGCAATCTCAGTAGCACTGGAAATTCCAAAATACAATTCAGTTGATACTATTATGAACATCAGAATCAATGCAGTAGTTCTGAAGGAACCACGAATAGGGAAAAAGTTAAAAAAACCCAACCCAGCACTGTTCACATATGGAAATTAAAACAGTCACTGATGACTCCACAAAGAGACAGCTCAAATTATCCTCACAATTATCAGGTAGAAGACTGCAAATTATACTCCCAGTTCACAAAGAAAAAGCAATCTAGAGGAGAACTGCTGATTTACATAATCAATATAATACAAATTCAGGGAGGCCACTTTTCAGCACACACAAAAAAGAAAGCAGAGCAGGAGACGGGATTTGCACAAGGCAGATAATGGGAGTAGAACCCTGCTGAGAGAAAACTGAGATAAAAGAAAAAGGACTTTAGAGGGAGGAGGCAGGACAGCACCACCTTGCCTGTGTGCCAACCCAAGTGCTGGCTCTAAGAAAGCTGCAGTGGGGGAGATGATTTAAGGTATCTTTTAAGTTTCATAATGTCATATGAAATGGAGAGTAAGCCCCTGGACTGGCTTCTTGCAGTCTAAAATATTCTTCTCTGGAAGTCAAGTTATCTGGTGGTTTCCAGGAGATAGAGGCAGATCCTGAACACCACTTTTAATTGCAATATTCAAATTCTAAATTACAGTGTTCAATTTTAATTATAACATTCAATTACAATTAAAATATTCCAAGTGCCTTTGAACTGTGATGATCCAATGAATCAAACCTGTTCATTCCCCACCCCACCTCTTTTTATGGTGGACGTGCTCCAGGAGATGGGTTAACAGCTCAAGAAGTTGAGAAGTATGCGACAAAGTCAGTCACACTGAAAGAGTCCTTCCCCTAAGCATCAGATAGCTATGAAGGACCAAATGTCTTACAATTATTCTTATATGGATATTTCTACCTGCAACATCTCACTGCTGGAGGGAAGCTGCTCATTCCCAGGCATCCCTGCAGGAAACACCTGTTTTGTAGATGTGGCCTAAAAAGTTGATGAACATGTTCATTTGGGCTTGTAGCTGAAACTGCAAACTTGTAAATAAGAACAGACTCAATTATAAGAGTCCCAATTACACCTGGCTCGGTCCAAAGGTAGGAGGTGATTCCCATGGGATTGTGAGCACTGATTATCAGGGAGTTGGTCCTGCAAGATAAGTTTTGGTCTCTGTCCATGGTCTAAAAAGGGCTTAGACACATTTGTAACTTTAAGCATATTTCTATGTGGAGTCACTGGGACTCTGGGAGCTCAACATTGGACCCAGACCAGATGAACTTGTGGAAAGCAACAGTGATGAGAACGGGTATGTGTGCGGCTGGCCAGGCTTTAGCCCTTGCATGGTCCTCCCCAAGAAAATGTCTCAGGACGCGCTGCAGCGAGTGCAAGGGTGTGCGTGTGTAAATAGGTCACTGCAAACACAGCATGCAAAAGTAAGTGGCCAAGCATGGGTCATCAGCTCTGTGCAACTGCAAAGCCATTATTCTCGTTAGGCTTCTCCCTTTGCTCAAAAGCAGATGAAATGCAGTGCTGGAGCCAATAGACCGAGCTGTGAAAACATATTTCAGTGCCGTGGCAGAAACTCCCTCCTGCTTGTATTGGCAAAACTCCTTCTGACCCCCATCAGGGGGGTCCCAGCCCAAGTGTGGCATGGTTCATCCTCTGGATTGCTGAACCAGGACCAAAGCAGGCCGAAATGAGCTGCCAGAAAGCTGATCGCAGCACTCTGCTGCTCTGGACCATGGCGAGTAATGCAAGATTCAAAACCTTGGAAGGAAACTAAAAATACATTAACTGGGAAATAATACATTCTTTCTAATCTGAGTCAAACCTAAAAATTAAACAGCTATAATTATCAAACCTAATTTAATTAAAACTAGCTACTCACCATCTGGTGTTATTTGTATAAATTTGGAAATCTACTATTTCATATTAAATTCCTCCGTTTAACAAATTATGTTAGAGAATATATTTCTCCACTATAATCATTATGTAATTGATAATTTTACAAATTATATTTCCTTCCACTTGATAGAAATATATTTTGTATAATAACAGGGCAGATGATCTGCTACTTTTTTCATCAAAACTGAATTTAAAATTAAGACTTGCATCATCAATAAAAAATAATTCACTGAAGTAGAAAAATGTACGATGAGGCAAGATTTTTTTATTTCTCAGCTTGGTCATTGAGAGTATAAATGGGAACTCCACGGGATTTTTTCTGCAGATGTAACTGTATATGCAGATATATAATACTGTATGTCTACTCTGTATATGCTACGTTCTGTAATAGCTAGTGAAGAACAGGAGTTTGATTTGAAGAGGTGTGTACTTTCTTTCTGATCAGTGTGGAAATGTATGGTTTTAGACATTTTAAAATGTATTGTCAAAAATATACTTCTCTCCAAAGACATATAATGAACATTTATATAGTGATATGTAAAACTAATTTGAAAATAACAAAGAGAACATCATGAGAAGACTACGAATTGATTAACACCTAAATATGACTATTTGACACAGCGAGCATGGGAGTCGTGGGTTTCTCAGTGACTACTTTAAAGACTTTTTGACACGTAGGTACTTCTACAAAAAAGGAGAGCAACCTGTAAGTATAATTAAAAAAAATCCATTGCAACAAGCTCGACTGGATGTGTTGACAGAAGGATACATACCGTGGGCATGCACAGGAGGCTGCAGGATGAAGAGAAATCACAGTGAAGTGTTGAGATAGCAGAATGGGTGCAGTTTAGGACACAAGCTACCTAACTCAGGTTTGGAGACATGCAGTTTATCCCAACTTGCCTGCTGATCTGCAACATGATTTTGAATTAATCTGTTCACATGTTCCCAGTTGATGCAGATTGTGAGGACTTCTGGGCAGTGGATGTCCTCCAGCTGTACTTGGGTCAAGACAGAGGAGCTCTTAGTGGTGGCCTTAAGGCAGCACTGTAAAAATAAGTAACAGCAAAATGCAACAGGCTAAATGCATCATTCAGACCGGATCCTGAGAAAAAAAGAAAGGAAACAGGGGAAAGAGGAAAAAAATGCTTCGTCAATCATAAAAAGACACATTTTCAAAAATACGTTTCCACTGAAGGTTTTGTCATACCATCACCTGTGACTGTAAAAAACATGAGTTAGTAAGCCACCTCTTTGCAATTTCCTAAGAATAAATGCAGAGAATTCCCTAAAATATGAATGCAGGGACACTCCTAAGCCACCCACAGTGACCTGATATCTTCCTCAGAGTGAAGTATTCATTAGTAACAATAGCATATAGAAATGATAAAGGAGAGAGTGCTCATGTTTAGCTTGTTTGCTGAGCAATTATCTTCTATGTAGGAACCTTGGCTGGTCTGAGTTTCCTGGGTCTCCCCAGCAAGCAAGGTGCTTCCACCCCTTTTTCCCTTATGTGGCACCCAGGCTTTTCCCTGGCCCTGCCCTGGAGCTCCCTCCTTGCAGTGGGCCACTGCATTATACAATAGCTCTGTTTTACTGATGAACAACTTGCAAAGTTTCACCCCTTTTTTACTCATCAGTATTTATAGCATGCAGCAGCAGCCAGTGCATCATGTTTGGTACTTTGCTATTTAACAGGCAAATGAATTCATCACAGATGAGTTTCGTTGATCAGCTACTGTTGGACTCTGCCCTTATGGGACCCTAAACCTGATGATGGTTTTTGGGCACGAGCTGCTTCACAGCATGAGGGGCCAAGAAGAAGAGCACGAAGGAGCCCAAAAGCAAGATGCTGAGATGTGTGCAGAGAATGCAACATGACAAACTGCTAGGTTTGGTTAAATTGGGACTGTTAATTATAGCAGTTTAAATTGGATTCTGACTCAGATTTTGAATTCATAGTGGCAAGATGACAGCCTGGAGAAGGTGTTTGCAAATGGCTGACTCAGAGGATGATGATCAGCACGACGGTGCCTTCTGCCTGTGCTAGTACTATGTGTTTATAGGAGCGATGTTATAAGGTGACAGTTGCCAGTTCAGCTCCACCCCTTGATCTGTTCACCAGAGATTATGCAGCCTGGAAAGACAAAATGAGCAAATGGAGGAAGGAGCATATTAATTGGGTGAGTACAAAATGGCAATCTGCCATCTCTTTTAGTGCTCTGTCCTCTTCTTTCCACATGTAATGCCAGGTTTCCAGATTTTTCTGTAGGCATCCAGCTGCTTTTGACTTGAGTTGATGAAGTGGCTTCTGAGAGAAGAATGACTATTTCCTAAATACTCTCTCTGAGACAGAGCTGCAGAATGCTGGTTCTCCAAGCCCGGTCCTCCAAATTATGAGGCTGTGGACAAGGGAGGCCACAGCCCCTGGTCCCTGCTGGGAGACCCCAGGAGCCCAGTGCCCTTGGTGGGGTTGCAGGAGCCAGGGGCTCCCAGGACCCCTCAGCATCCAGGGGTGCCAGAACCTGGGAGCCCAGCACTTCCCTGCAGGGATGGACACTGGGGAAAAGCTGCCTGATAGGAGGGCTGCAAAACCTGCCTTAATTTCTGACCAAATTCCACAAGGATTGAGCACTGGTGCTGGAAATACCTGATCTAACAGATCTCCAGCGTTGTCTCTCCTCTCCCAAAAATGATTTTGCTTTTTTTCTACCAGTTTTCCTTGAAGTCATTTCATTCATGCTTTCGTGCAAAATGAAAATCTCCAAGATTTCCTTCCATGTGTACTCACGGTACAGATGCTCGACTCTTCAAATGGTTGCTGAAATTCATTTGTAAGCATTGTAGGTGACTAAGTTTTGTAACTATACTTTGTGAGTTACAAGCAGGGGTCAAAAATCTAATACCACATGAATAATGTAGCTAACCCTTGCTTTGATCTTAGAAATCTTTATGTCAGTGCTAGGCTGGGTACACTGTCAGTCAGCCACTGAACGACAAGGGGAAAGGATTTGTTACAAACTACTTGTGACTGAGACAGAAGCCAAGAAGTAGCATCACTTATCAGTTGCTTGTAGAAATAATGTATAGCTCCTGAAATTATTGTTTTCAAATCTCTAACTCTGCTCTAATAATTACTAGAATTGAGACACTAATATATTCTATGAATTACTGGTTTTCATCCATTGAATAGATGAGAACAGATTGTGATTCCCCAGTCTATTTGTTATTCAAATGAATTCAACAGATACCTTTTCTAATATTTAACTCTGTGGATTGAAAGCAAATATCCACAGTATGTAGTTGCTGATGCTTTGATAAATCACATGGATCGTTTCTGCTTCCTGACAGGAACACTGTGCAGATACCTAAGCTGAATCCTTGTTTATGCAAATATATGACTGGGTTTTCACAAGAACTTACAGATGTGGCTTTAAAACCTGTTTCTTTGTGCCTTTTTGTTTTATTTTCTTACCAAAGCTCAGTTTCCCAAATTGTCACGGAAAATGAACACAAAGGAAATGTGACTGGGGCTAAAGCAAAGTAACTTACTCATTTTTTATTTTATTTTATTTTTTTCATGGAATATCTGTGAACAGACTGTGACTGAGGCCGTGATGCAGAAAGGTGATTTACGATAGGCTTAGCTTTAAATGTGCTGCCCTGCTCTCACTGAATTCAGTGTGACTGAGCAAGCATAAAATGAAGTATGAGCGTTGTCTTGGAAGATCAGAGCCTAAGCTAAGATTATCTGAAAACTTTCTGAATTATTCAGCTCTAATAATCACTGTTTGGTCACTACTGAAAGAACTAAGTCTGCCTTCACTGTTTGCCTGTCCTCTAGATGACCAGAACCATGGAATATTGATACTGTTCCCCTGTGCAAATAAAAGCAACAAAGATAACAGTGAGCATCCACAAACATGTGCATTCATAAAGGAACAAACCCTGGACAAATGAACAGTCATTGTGGATTTTCTGGGGGTGGCCAACAATATTTTTCACAATGTAACCTATTTCATCCACAAATTCTTTTTTTTTCTTTCAGAGTAGATTTTGGGAAGTAAGCAAGAACATTTCTCAAGGGCTTCCAGCAGGATTTCACAGAGTTCAGGCTGCGTGTAGCTGACGGGAGGAGGATGGGCAGAGGCATACCTATCAAAGATCATGTAATCCTATTTATTAATCCACTGCAGAAATCCTGCATGCAACATCAGGGAGCCTGACCACTGGCAGAGAAGAAACTGATATTCATGTATTAACTGAACGGTAATTAGGATCTCCACAGCAAAACCACACAATTCCCTGGAAACTACTCTTCTGTTGGGAGGATTCTTCTGGGTGGCTTTTGTGCTACTGCTTTCCAGTTTGGGAGGCCATCCTTACAACCGCACTAACAGTACACTGCTTTCAGGTCTGTGTGCCTGTTCTATAGAAGAGCCATATCAATCTATCACACAAACTGAACCTGATTTGCAGTCCCTGCTGTGCAATAGATGTTCTGAAGGTGGGGAGACATCCTCTAGCAAAAACGTAAAATCAGAGTGGAGTGTCTTTCCCCAGCTACAAACTTGCGCTTAGCTATATCAGGAAGGTTCTAGCCTACATTTGTGCCTGAAACAACTCAGTTGGAGGAATGAACAAGGCACAGCTATGGAGATTTTCAGGTTTTTATGTTCTCCAGTGATATATTTACCAGTCTAGAAAAAGGCTGAGAGAGAAGGGAAGACAAAGCATCTCCAGATCAGCTTGCAGTTTGGATGAGCAGCTCTGTTACTGCTTATGGCTGTCTCTATTCATCCAGCTATGATATATCCCACTGGTATGTTGCAGGTATGTCACCTTTGCCTTTCCCCTCACTCCTCCGGAAACATTTGTGGCTGTGTTTGCACCACAGATGATTCTCATAAGGTGTTTAAATAGGGGAGAGCCAAGCCCTTCCTTTGGCAAGCTGCTATCAATGCTGCCAAACTCCAAAATGAGATGCTGCCACCAGTCAGTCATGTGAACTTTGAATGGCCCTGGGAATGGCTTCTTGTACAGGGAATCATTCCCAGGCAGGAGTGCTCCTTCCCAAACACTTACTGCAGTGAAGAGGGCCCACATACTGGGTCAGTTTCTGACCCCTCATTGTGGAGAGGTGGTGCAGTGGATGAAGGAGGCAGAGTGGCTCCCAGAGCCACTGCTGCTCTAATGCTGCTCTAAAGAATGCAAAAAGGCAGGTGGGAAGGGAGCAAATTAAAAAATGAAAAAAAAAATAAAAAGGCAGGTGGGTAGGAACAAATGGGGAACAAGTGGTGAGACAGGCTGGCAGGTGCTGGGGATGGTGGGAGGGTGCTGGAGGGCACAAGCTCAGCTCTGTGCTTGTTGCACCTTCTCAGGGATGATGGCCTGCAGCAAAACAGCCGTAAAAGCAGGCATTGTTTCAAAGCATTTACCCAGTCATGCTTAAAGGGTTTGTACATGTTTGTTAGAGGTTGGAAGCAAAAGTGTGAGCAAAAACATAAGGCAAGCCCTCGGGATAGATGTACTCTGTGAGACAGCGTAATCTGGTCCTGCTGCTTACCAGCTTTCACCTGGTTAACTCTAGGTCAGAATGAAGCTATATAGTCAGAACTGATTATTCATGACCCCAGACAAGAACGTAACCTTTCTATCTTTAGACTCCATTGAAATGGCAATACCCTGATTATGGAATATTTTTCCGCTAATTAGGAATGCAGGCTCTACAGGTCACTGGGAGTTCATGCTATTCCCTTGGCATAAGCAGATGTCTTCAAGATAAACCTGTACTAAAACACATCAACAGCTCCACACTATCTTTTATGCGTTAAGGGGGAGGAGAGGGGGAAAGAAAGAAAAGGAAAGGAAAAGAGAGACAGCAGCTTGCTGAAGACTGAAGAGACAGATGACTCCAGGAGCTGAGTATTAATTTATGAACATCAAGCAAATAATTGCCTTTCAGGTACTGGCTCCTGGGCTCTGCAGCACATGGTTACCAATCTGCAATCAGGCCTTATTGGGGAAGTACAAGTCTGAGGCAAGGAAGATGTGCTGCTCAGCCTGCAAGTCCTGCGGGGCTGTGCTGGCTTCATGCAGGGCCGTGGTAGGCATCTGTACCGTCCTCACAGCATGGAGATGGTGAGGAGTACAGCACATAGGCACATGGGTAACCATCATCACAAGACCCTGTGCAAACTTGGTGCAGCAGCATCTCCTCTCCTGTTTCTTTCTGCCTTCTATTTTTCTCCTTTTTCTTTATCCCCCTGCCCCACCACAGTCTTCTCTGCTTTCTAGCTGCTAGCCACATTCTCCATTCACCTTCAGATCTCCTTCATCTTTCCTTGCCCACCTTAAGCAAAAGCTCACATCTCTAAACTTTATTCCTTCCTGATCTGCTCTTTTCCTGATTTACTTTCCCATTTCTCATTCAGAGGTATGCCTTATTCCAATTGCAGTCTATCCAGGATCCTCTTCTACTCGTTGTTTTTGCTATGATTTTCTTTTCTACAGCAAAGGTCTCCCTCCCAGAGACAACCAGCCATGTTTCCTGGTGAAGTTACCTCCATCTGCCTTCCCATCAATCTTCTCTGTACCAACTGCTGTGATTCAGCTGGCAAGCACCATGCTCTCCTTGAAGCCCATGACCCTCCTGAAATACTTGCTCACTGGAGGAGGGAGTTGCTGGCATTGTGGTGCCAGCAGAGAAGTGGGGTGACAGGCTCTATTTCTCTGAGCAGGCATGATGGCTGTACCAGTCCAGAACTACACTCATGCTTTCCAAACAAATAGCAAGTATTTTATTTTGTTGGCCAAGTGGGAGAGCTGAATCGTTTGCATCCTCGTGGCTTATAAATCTTCATGTGACAGGTCATGATGGTGAAGGCATCTGCCATGCTTTGCTCTTTGGGAAGCAACTGGCTGAATTTCAACTGCTATAAATACAGAGTGCTGTTTAACATGAAGGTAGCCTCTCTCTCCTGGTTGTTTTCTGGAAGGGTGATATACTACTTAGCTATGTCTAGCCTGTGCAATGAACACTATAAGCATGCCCCTGTATGATTTTATCCTGCATGACACTAAAACATTTGCAGTTGATACAGATGCAGGACAGCATCAGCTATCCCTCAGGTTCTGAGCTAGGATTTTGACCGCACTGCTGCACAGCCATTTTCACATAAAA